AGCGCCCGGGGCAGGCGGCGGCGCGGAGCCCGGCGGGGCCGCAGTGAGGGCCGCGGGGGGATGCGCCGGCCGGAGAACGGGGCGGCGGCGGGGACCAGGTGAGAGCCGAGGCCGAGGGGGCCGGGCCGGGCCGAGCCGGGGGAAGGGGGCGCTGCGAGCCAGAGGACGGGGGCACTGCGGGCCGAGGCTCCCCAGCTCGGGGCGCCCCGGGGCACGGTGGGAATTGTAGTTTCGCCCTGCTCCCAGGCTGCGCTCTGGGCGGGGCCGGCCCGGCGCGGGGACTCGCACTCCCAGCACGCCCCGGGGCAGGGCGGGACAGGGCGGAGTGAGGGGCGGCGCGGCCAATCAGGAGCGGGGACGGGCCGACCGCCGGCCAGGCCCCTTGGGGAGCCGAAACGTGTCTGAAGCGGCTATGTTGGAGGGGGCGGGGCCAGGCGCGGAGGGGGCGGGGCCTAGAGAGGCGGGACTCGGGCTTCGCACCTCGCCTGGCTGTCAGCACATGGGGAGGGCAGGGCCCCAAGGGCTGCAGCGGGGAGGGGGTAACTCTGAAGGGGGAGCAGGGACTTTTCATGCTGCAGTGGGGAGGGGGTGGCCCCCTCGGGGGAGCGGGGTTCCCTGGGGGTGACGCTGGGATGGGGTAACCCCTGCGCAGGAGCGGGGTTCCCTGGGGGTGACGCTGGGATGGCATATCCTGGGGCACGAGCCAGTTTTCTTTGTGTTGTAGCTGTGGGGGGCAGTGGATTACACTGGGGCATACTCTGGGTGTATCTGGGGGAGCATCACTGGGGTGGGACTCACCGGAGTGGGTTCAGTTGGAGCATAGCTTGGAGTGTGTATATCTAGGGAGGGGAATAGGTTCCCCGAGGCTTTAGGGAGAGGGGTATTCATGGGGGAGGGAAGCTGGTCAGTATGCGATGTAGCTGGGAGAGAATATCCCCATGGAGTGGGGAGCGGGTTCCCATGGGGCATAGGAGGGGGGTATTCCCAAGAGTGGTAGCGGGTTCCTTTGGGCTGTAGCTGGAAGGGAGTCCCTGGGGAAAGTTGAGTGGGTTCCCTGGGTGTTGTAGCTGGGAAGGACTATTTGTGGGAGGGGCACCTTCCTGTGGAGGCATAATTGGGAGGTTTTTCCTTGGGGGAGGAGAATGAGTTCCCCTGGAGTGGTAGATAGGGGTATTCTATGATGGTGGTGTTGAGGAGCTCCAGGGAGAGGAGCTGGGATGGGGTATCTCAGAAGGGAAGAGGAGCAGATTTCTCTGGGATGTAGCTTAGCAGGAAATTGTTCCCCTATGGTATATCTGGGAACCAGCTTACTCCCTCTCTCCCCCACCAGCAGATTCCTGTAGGGTGGTAGCTGGAAGGGATGTATCCCTGCGGGAGGTGGGGCGGGTTCTCCTAGGGTAGTAGCTAGTGGTGGGTATATCCCAGGGGGTGGTACGGCTGGTTCCCTTAGGGTAATAGTTGGAAGGGGGTTAATTTCCTAGGTGAGGTGGGCGAGTTGAGTGTCAGTTTGGGGTAGGGCAGTGTGTCCCACTTATGGTGAATATGGGAGGAGTTATCCCTGGAGGCAGGGGAGGAGGTGGTTCCCTTCGGGATGGTATCTTTGTGGATGGTAACCTTGAGGGTGTGTTTGGGAGGGAGGAGTTCCCGCCACCAGGGAAGCTGCTTCTTGGGGATCCCTAGGCTGGTGTCTCTCGTTGCGGGAGCATAGTGTCTTCTTTATAGACGTGCGCTTGACGCCCTTTCAGTGGGTGTTGACTGAGCCCAGAGCTGGCCTTTGAGCCTGTGTATGGCAGTATGGAAGGCTTGAGGCCTGTGGGACTCCACAAGTGAAGGCTGTCAATGTGAAGAAGGAGCTACTCCAGTCCCCCGTTTTGGACTGGGCCCCGTGGGTCCTGCTGTGCTGTGCACGCAGGGCTTGGTGCTGTCACTGGCAGCACATGGATCACAGTAGGGAGCCTGGACACCTTGTCACTGAGCATAGCTATGAGGAGAGCATCATCAGTCCAGCGTGGCAGCCTCTGCCCTGTTGCTCGGGGCCCAGAATTCTGGGGGAAGTTGGATTCTGCTGGAGAAGTGTTGCCACTCCCTTCTCGGTGACCAGGAGCATGTGAGAGGCTGGGTGTTTGCTAGGCAGGTGGGTGGAATGCCCCCAGTGTGTGTGGCATTTGGTCAGGCTCTGGCATGCTTCAGAGCCCAGGCATCATGGAGGGGCTTGCCCAGAGTTCTCAACTAGCTTTTACCAGCTAGCAAGATCCCTCAGTCCTTTCAGAGGTTCCTTCTGTGTCATCAGTCTGATGCTAGACAGGGTGGCGTGGGGCTTCGCTCTGCGCTGGCGTGGCCTCTTGGGGTTTTCTTTTCTCAGGGAAGTATAATTAGAGCTCTGCACGGCTTGTGATGCTTGGGTCTGATGCTGGCAGTCTGGGTTAGCTAGCATTCTAAGGAGTGGGATTTTTTTTCTTTTCGGTGCTGTCATAGGCTTTCCGATTCCCCTTCAGAGGTTTTGCATAGGTTTTTGTGAATTATGTACATGAGCTCAGCTATCAAAGAAGGTCTTAGTCACACAGAAAGAGAGGTGGTCTTTCACGTAACCTAGTTCAGCGAGAGCTCTGGTGATTAGTGCCATGACCTTGAATTGGACCAGTGCTTAGTGGGGAGCCAGTGTACTGATGGAAGCACTGGGGCGATATGCTCCTGTCTGCCAATGTTTCTGAGCAATTGTAGACCAGTTGCATTTTTTTCAGGGTTTGCTTACTCATTCCCAGTACAGTGTGTTGCAGTGATCCAGCCTGGCTGTAATTTATATGCTCTTTATTCATTAATTTCCCCAGGCTTGAAACGGGAAGTATGGGCAATTTGGTAAATAGAAGGAAAGGTCATCTAGTTTCACTGCAGCACACGTGAGTGCCTTTGCATTCTCTGTTAAAGTGCTACCTTTCTGTGTCTGGCTACAAACTCCTCACTGGATCACAATGGAGATTCTTGAGCCTCCTACAATAACACTGCATTAGGGAACTTGGTGTCTTTTTTTTTCCCCTCTGGAAACATGACAATGGGACGTGTTACACCTAGGGTAGGATGCACTATCTCGTACTGTCGCCACGCTAACAGCTGTAGGTCCTGCACATAAAGAGCAGACCTACAGTGTGCATCACTGCTGTAGTTATTACTGTAATTAGATTAAAAAAAATGATAGACACTCTGAAAGAGATTAGAATTTATGTTAGGGTTGTTCTTTGAGTTTTTGTCCCCGTGGATCTCTTCTTTGGTGCACTGGTCCAATGCACGAGAGATCAGAATCTTTTGGACAAAAGTGTCTGTTGGGACCGACTGTGCCCTTTGTGTCCTTGTGCAACCCCTCCTCCCCCTCCCCCCCGCAACTCAAAAGTATGAAATGCCGAGTGGCTGCAGCTGTCCATCAGTTCCCTTTTACCGTCCGTAGCAGTGAGATGCGTAGCAGTGAGATGGAGCGTGGTGGTACTCACCTGCTCCCCTGTAGCACACTGTCTCTCTTTAGTGAGGTAGCAGTTTGGGGTTTCCATTCAATTGGCAGACCCTCTTTAGCTCTTAAATTTTCTTTAATAAAATAAAATCCTTCTTTTATCATTTTTTTTTTGCCTCGTTGGGCACCTAGCGCCATTACTGTTTCTCAGCCTGGTGGTGGAAACAACCCTTTCAGGTTTTAAGTCATGTCCGTTGTGTGATGATTTCATTCTCCTTATGGATGGGCATAGTTGGTGTCTCTTCTGCTTGGGTGAGAGCCATCTCTCAGAGCGATATTTGGTTTGTCGGTCGTTTCCCACCAGGTCTTGTCCCAGGAACACTTGGCTAAATTCTTCCCCTTGGAACAGTCCGTGAGAGGAGCATTGGATGGCTTTCTGACTCATAATTGACTCTCTTCCCAGAGGTCCCATTCAGTTAGTGTCCCTGGGAGTAGGGACTGTTCTCCTAAACTCCTATGAGTGACAAAGGCTGTTTAGCCCTCTCTGCTGACCAGCCTCAGCCCCCTAAACCGAGTTTGGCACCAGCCAGGAGCTTGGCACTAAAGCATGGTATCACCTCTTCACTGAGGCAGGGCAGAATGGGCCTCCACTGCAAGGGAGACACTTGGTGCCAACTGACCTTCCCGGAACGGGAGAGGCCAGAGGAACCCAAGAAGAGCCATAGGCCTTCTGTCTCTTCAGCCCTTGGGCCAAGGTATTCTGCCCATGGGCCAAGCCATGCTAAGCAGGCTAAAGAGGCTGAAATCTTGAGTTACCCAGATCTGAGGGGAACCAAATTTACCCTGGCTCTGAAGCCTGGTATTGAGGAACTCTCCCTGGTGCTGAAGCTGCTGGTACCAGAGTTGGCTCAGATAAAGGAACCCTTAACAGCTTATGCCCAAATAAACGTGTTAGTTGCTAAGGTGCCACAAGGACTCCTCGTTGTTTTCACTGATACAGACTAACACGGCTAACCCCTGAGTCCCAGGAGAGTTGCTGCTGTGGGCTGCTGCTTCAGATTATCACACAGAGCCCTTGGACTGACTCAAGCACAAATGCTGAAGGTACTGCAGGCCCCTGCACTGGTACTGACAACTTCTCACCCTCCCTTAAAGAGCTCAGTTCCAGCTTTAGAGCACGAGTACTCCTCCATCTTGTCCCCGGCCCATCCTTGTTCCCTTGAATGAAACCCTCTCCAGTTCCTCTTGACTCTCTTCTCCTAGACGTAGGTCAACCTCCTGATCTCCAATCCCTGATAGAGGCCCCCCAAACTACCTGTTACATAGTCCACTACTCCATGGCCGTCCTCTCTGTGGGTCCACCTCCTCAGGTTGTCGAATCTTAGAGTCAACCTCCCCAACTGTTTCTATTACTTTGGTTCTTGCCATCTGGGTCAGGGCTTGCTTTCTGCTGTAGGCACCTGCACCATTGCTCGATCCCCTGCCTGGAATTTCCAAACCTTTGCTCGACAATTGTAATAGGTCTGTTGGCCCTCCTTTGCTTTTTCTCACGCTAGGGGAGTAATTTGGGCTACTCTCTCCCGCATCTGCATTGCATATTTAATGATGTTATTTCCCTGGGTAGGCCATTCTTCTCAGCCCTCCTTGGCAGTGTCTAAT